CGGCATAGCACAGCGACTCACACGATCATCACCCTCTCACCGTTACACCCATTAAATACTCGGGTTCTTTGCACCATGTGGAACCACGGATCACACATCGACACCTAGTTAGCATATTTAGTGAATGAATTTACGTTGTTGAGCTGCAAGGAATCGCTCGCTCCATCCCAGTTACGCACAGCTAGAGGAGATAAGTCAACGGATCGGATTGGAATGGATTGGATTGGATCTGCCTAACTGCCGTCTTGCAGCGCTGTATTCTTTGGTCCAAAATTTAGTCTATAGTCGCTACGATTCTGGGCAGTTGAAATGATCCAAGACGAGAGGCCCAATCCATCACACTTAACGCTTTGTGCACCGTACAGTTCAGTACCAGACATTCCTTGAGAGCTAGACGGCACCAGACGTCCCAACTTACCAAATATATCTTTTATGCTCTATCTATAACGTATGTCGCATATTCTAGTTTAATTCCCTAGTTGTAAGCCTACAGTTTGTAGTCACGCATGTAATGAATTTCATTCCTCGAACTAACCCAAGAAAAGAAAATACAAAATTTGTTATCTCTCTTGATGTATAAAATAATCGCCCAAAAATGATCACTCATGAATATTGTGGATATTAAAGTTACACCATACTAAAAATTAACTATTACAATGAATATTTATTTTATTATTATATTTTTTCTTAGGTCAAACTAGGGCTATACAAATGTATGTGTTTACTTTTTATACCCTTGCAGAGGGTAATGAAATTTTTTAGCTGTGAATGCTAATCGATTGGAAATTTTATAACGAATTCAACGAGGTATGGCATTCCATCGTGCGACCATTATTTCCCATGGTTTTTGTCAAAAAACCGCAAAAAAAGGTGATTTTTCCGGATCTTTCGGATTTTGGCATTTTTCATAAGGGGTTAGTTCATCATTTTTGGCGAAAACTCGACCAAAATGAAATTTTTTAGCTGTGAATGCCAATCGATTGGAAATTTTATAACGAATTCAACAAGGTATGGCATTCCATCGTGCGACCATTATTTCCCATGGTTTTGGTCAAAAAACCGCAATAAAAGTTGATTTTTCCGGATCTTTCGGATTTTGGCATTTTTCATAAGGGGTTAGTTCATCATTTTTGGCGAAAACTCGACCAAAATGAAATTTTTTAGCTGTGAATGCCAATCGATTGGAAATTTTATAACGAATTCAACGAGGTATGGCATTCCATCGTGCGACCATTATTTCCCATGGTTTTGGTCAAAAAACCGCAATAAAAGTTGATTTTTCCGGATCTTTCGGATTTTGGCATTTTTCATAAGGGGTTAGTTCATCATTTTTGGCGAAAACTCGACCAAAATGAAATTTTTTAGCTGTGAATGCCAATCGATTGGAAATTTTATAACGAATTCAACGAGGTATGGCATTCCATCGTGCGACCATTATTTCCCATGGTTTTGGTCAAAAAACCGCAAAAAAAGGTGATTTTTCCGGATCTTTCGGATTTTGGCATTTTTCATAAGGGGTTAGTTCATCATTTTTGGCGAAAACTCGACCAAAATGAAATTTTTTAGCTGTGAATGCCAATCGATTGGAAATTTTATAACGAATTCAACAAGGTATGGCATTCCATCGTGCGACCATTATTTCCCATGGTTTTGGTCAAAAAACCGCAATAAAAGTTGATTTTTCCGGATCTTTCGGATTTTGGCATTTTTCATAAGGGGTTAGTTCATCATTTTTGGCGAAAACTCGACCAAAATGAAATTTTTTAGCTGTGAATGCCAATCGATTGGAAATTTTATAACGAATTCAACGAGGTATGGCATTCCATCGTGCGACCATTATTTCCCATTGTTTTGGTCAAAAAACCGCAATAAAAGTTGATTTTTCCGGATCTTTCGGATTTTGGCATTTTTCATAAGGGGTTAGTTCATCATTTTTGGCGAAAACTCGACCAAAATGAAATTTTTTAGCTGTGAATGCCAATCGATTGGAAATTTTATAACGAATTCAACGAGGTATGGCATTCCATCGTGCGACCATTATTTCCCATGGTTTTGGTCAAAAAACCGCAAAAAAAGGTGATTTTTCCGGATCTTTCGGATTTTGGCATTTTTCATAAGGGGTTAGTTCATCATTTTTGGCGAAAACTCGACCAAAATGAAATTTTTAGCTGTGAATGCCAATCGATTGGAAATTTTATAACGAATTCAACAAGGTATGGCATTCCATCGTGCGACCATTATTTCCCATGGTTTTGGTCAAAAAACCGCAATAAAAGTTGATTTTTCCGGATCTTTCGGATTTTGGCATTTTTCATAAGGGGTTAGTTCATCATTTTTGGCGAAAACTCGACCAAAATGAAATTTTTTAGCTGTGAATGCCAATCGATTGGAAATTTTATAACGAATTCAACGAGGTATGGCATTCCATCGTGCGAACATTATTTCCCATGGTTTTGGTCAAAAAACCGCAAAAAAAGGTGATTTTTCCGGATCTTTCGGATTTTGGCATTTTTCATAAGGGGTAAGTTCATCATTTTTGGCGAAAACTCGACCAAAATGAAATTTTTTAGCTGTGAATGCCAATCGATTGGAAATTTTATAACGAATTCAACGAGGTATGGCATTCCATCGTGCGACCATTATTTCCCATGGTTTTGGTCAAAAAACCGCAAAAAAATGTGATTTTTCCGGATCTTTCGGATTTTGGCATTTTTCATAAGGGGTTAGTTCATCATTTTTGGCGAAAACTCGACCAAAATGAAATTTTTTAGCTGTGAATGCCAATCGATTGGAAATTTTATAACGAATTCAACGAGGTATGGCATTCCATCGTGCGACCATTATTTCCCATGGTTTTGGTCAAAAAACCGCAAAAAAAGGTGATTTTTCCGGATCTTTCAAATTTTGGGATTTTTCATAAGGGGTAAGTTCATCATTTTTGGCGAAAACTCGACCAAAATGAAATTTTTTAGCTGTGAATGCCAATCGATTGGAAATTTTATAACAAATTCAACGAGGTATGGCATTCCATCGTGCGACCATTATTTCCCATGGTTTTTGTCAAAAAACCGCAAAAAAAGGTGATTTTTCCGGATCTTTCGGATTTTGGCATTTTTCATAAGGGGTTAGTTCATCATTTTTGGTGAAAACTCGACCAAAATGAAATTTTTTAGCTGGAATGCCATTTGATTGGAAATTTTATAACGAATTCAACGAGGTATGGCATTCCATCGTGCGACCATTATTTCCCATGGTTTTGGTCAAAAAACCGCAAAAAAAGGTGATTTTTCCGGATCTTTCAAATTTTGGGATTTTTCATAAGGGGTTAGTTCATCATTTTTGGCGAAAACTCGACAAAAATTAAATTTTTAGCTGTGAATGCCAATCGATTGGAAATTTTATAACGAATTCAACGAGGTATGGCATTCCATCGTGCGACCATTTTTTCCCATGGTTTTGGTCAAAAAACCGCAAAAAAAGGTGATTTTTCCGGATCTTTCAAATTTTGGGACTTTTCATAAGGGGTTAGTTCATCATTTTTGGCGAAAACTCGACCAAAATGAAATTTTTTAGCTGTGAATGCCAATCGATTGGAAATTTTATAACGAATTCAACGAGGTATGGCATTCCATTGTGCGACCATTATTTCCCATGGTTTTGGTCAAAAAACCGCAAAAAAGGTGATTTTTCCGGATCTTTCGGATTTTGGCATTTTTCATAAGGGGTTAGTTCATCATTTTTGGCGAAAACTCGACCAAAATGAAATTTTTTAGCTGTGAATGCCAATCGATTGGAAATTTTATAACGAATTCAACGAGGTATGGCATTCCATCGTGCGACCATTATTTCCCATGGTTTTGATCAAAAAACCAAAATAAAGGTTTTTGTCCGGAATTCCCCCTCGGACACCCAAAAAAAACCAAAAAACGGTTCGCATTTTTGAAACAATTACTTATTTATTTAAGGGGTTTTGAATTTATTTAGCAAAAAATATTTATAGGTATTTTTTAACTGTACGATTTTACTTATTTTCTCTTTTGCAACTTATTTTCCGATGATTACTGCACCTTCTCTCACAGAATATTTATTTTGATGGGTGCCGCGACTCTTACTCTCTCACACATAATAAAAATAACATACTTAAAAGTTAATGACAATGCTGCGTGTTACAAACAAAGTTAGCGTATCCTGAACCTATACATATAAAACTCGCATATTTCGGACACAATCCAATTTTAACAAAATAAAAACATAACGTAAACTAATGTAGTTAGACTATAACTAATCCATAAATCATACATATTCAATAGAAACTTATTTGATTTAATTTCATGCACTTACTCAACGCTTTCATAAGACATTAAAGACTAAATAATAAATACGGGTACTTCTAGAATTTTCATATAAAACACAAAATTAAAGCTTAGCTCGGGTCGGCGATGCAGCTTCAGACCTGAAATTCTAATTGGTACATTATTATATAGACGTGGCAGGGGGACGGATACCTCCCCCCGGACCACAAATAGCGGGCATTAAGTTTTCAATTAAGGACATCGAGTGAGTGGAGGCTAGTATCTGGATTGGATCGAGCAACATGTACGATATCAGCGATTGCGAGCTGCGGTTAGAATACAATATCAATATCGCTAATCATACAATTACATATAGTGTGTGGTATAGTAATAAGTTGGTTGTTTTATGTAAATATTCATACTGCTTCAGCTAAATGCTACCCATTACTGATTTCTGTTTAGTTTGAAACTGTTTTTTTTTAATTTACGTAGCTTAATACGCTCTAAACTTGGTTTAGCTTTGTGTGTGGCTTCGATCCTTCTCCGTGCCCGTTTAAAAAATGTACTTTCTCCTCTTTATTTGTTTCTAATCCCCCAAGTTGCTGTGACGGCTCCGCTTGCTGTGCTCGACTAATTGTTAGATTATTATATTTTATGAGCGCCTTCTATGAGCTACCATACTGCTAAATGCAAATATTTACACAAACATTTTCAGTTAAGAACGTACGAATTATCATTATATATTTTTGTGTATCTTCATCATTTCTGTACGGGTCTATATAAGTGAAAACGTCAAGCTTTGCTTCCCACTTTGACTTCAATATTAAATCGGTGTCGCAAGTGCCGACTCCTATTCCCTTATTATTTTGTTTCACAAATTGGTTTCTTAGCGCTTTAGAAGCTATCATCGCTGTCGCTGTGCTCCGGCTGCTCCTCGCCCACAATCAGTTCGTCCTGATCCTCCTCAATGTCCTCGCTCTCGTAAGCCTCTTCGGCCGCCTCGGCGATCTGGTCGATCTGCTCCTCGTAGGCAGCATGTCATGCCAGTCCGCTGGCATCGGCGGCGTCCTCCGACCAGCTGACCTCCATGGGTGTGCAGGGCAGCGCCTCCTCGATGGACATGCGGGATGGTGGTTGTTTCGGCCTCTTCGACAGCGATCCGCCCGAAGCGGTGCTGGAGGCGGATGAGCTGCGCATCATGTCCTCGGAGGAGGCCGAGCAGCTCTCGTCCTCGGAGTTTGCCCCGGAGACCATGGCCTCGCCGGCGGACTCCTGGATCTCCTGGAACTTCTTGGCCTCGCTGGACATCAGCTTCATGGTGGAACTGCGTGGACGCATCTCGGCAGACATCGAAGGTTGTGGTGAGCTGGCGCACAGGGCCGCATCCTCGTGCCAGTCGGTCAGGTTCAATTCCTCCTGCTGCCTCTGCCTTCGCCCAGGGGACTCGCAGACGGCGGAGCTGGAGGCCGAGGCCTTGATGCATACCGAATGGGAACGAGCCCGGGACAGAGGACGACCCTCTGCTTCCCCGGAACTACTGCTGGTCCTGAGCAATGCCGTGGCCGACATGCTCTGGCTGAGGGGATTGGGATGCGCGTGGGATGAGCCTCCATTAGTGGCCAACCCATTGGAGTGACCATTGCTCACCGAAGTCTGTCGTCGCTGGATGGGGCACCGCTCGGTGTTGCTCCGCAGTGAGCCCGCTCTCCGCACGATCTTTGAAGTGTTGCCCTTGAACGACTCGTCGTCGATCTCCAGCGTCCAGCTGACCGAATCATTGCGCTCGATCATGCCCTTCATCACCGGCGAAGTGGGCGAGGATGTGGTCACGGCGATCTCCAATCCACTGCGGCCCAGGCTGCAGCGGCTATGCGAGTGGTTGGTCGAGCTGGTGTCATGGCAGCCGGAGGATCGTTCATGCAACTTGGCCTCCGCCGCCTGGAGCTGCACGGATCGCTGCTTAAGGTGGTACTGAAGCTCCTCCTTGTCGAAGGTCAGCCGCGTGCGCTTCATGCTCTCGTGTTTGTAGGCCTTCTCAAGCTCCTCCATCTTCTGTTGGATGTCCCTGGAACAGAGTAAGTTGTACGTTAGTTTGGGTTTACTTTTACGTTATTTTTCCGAATTGTTTAGCTAAAGAGAACGCTACTTACTTCTCCTTTTCGGTTTTGGCCTCCAGTTCGGTGCGCAACATCTCGTTCTGTGCCTCCAGAAGGGCCACCCGGTTGCCCAGCTTGATGCGCTCCTCGCTCTCACGGATCAGATCCGACTTGGCCTTGCTGAGGGAGGAGATCTCCGCCTGCTTGAGCTCCAGGACGCAGCGCAGGCTGTCGGCCTCGCTGGTCAGTCGGCTGAGCTCGGCGCTGGCCGTGTCCGGCAGACTGGTGCTGGGACTGCGGCGCTGCGAGGATGTGCGTAGCACGGAGATCTCGTCCTGGGACAGCGCCAACCGATCCCGCAGATCCCGCTCGTTGTGCTCCTTGTTGGCTTTCAAAGTGTTCAGCTCCTTGCTGAGGCTCTTGACCCGATCGTTCAGCTCCTGTTCGCGCTGGTTGGCCTCGGATAGCCGGGCAGCGTGGGTGTTCTCCTTGCGTATGAGCTTCTCGCGGTTCTCCTGCTCCTGGGACTCCAGTTTCTGCAGCCGCTTCTGCAGTTCCAGTATCTTCTGTTCGGCAGTGCTCAGATGCTCCTGCTTCAGGGTGAGCTTGTGCGACACCTCCATGTGGTAGGCCTGCTGCACCTGTTTGGCCTCCTCATCCTTGGCGAGCAGTTGGGACTCTAGTTCGCAGAACCTTTGCTTGGCAAGCATTTGCACTTCCACTACTTTCTCCTCGGCTGTTTAATAAATGACGTACTAGTTAGTCATCGATTTATGACATTTATGACAGCCCTTGTGGGATATATAGACTAATCGAAGTACCCACCTTGCTTCAGTTCAGTGCGATGCAGATGATCCCGCTCCTGCTGCCGCTGCACCCACTCCACATCCTTGGCATGCAGTTCCTCGCGCAGCTGCTCGCAATCCCTTTGCGTCTGCTGCAACAGTCCGATCGTCTCCTCCAGCGTTCCCTTGGTCCGGGCACATTGCTCTTTGGTCTCCTTGCAGGCAAACGCATCCAGCTGTAATCCCAAAAAGAAACAAACAATCACGGTTAAAGTCGCTATAAATCCAGCTATAAACTTCGTGCCCAATGGCAGGTAGGTAAACCCTCCTCGAGTAATTAAAATGAAATTTTCATCTCGATTTCAAGAGTTTTGCACGGAAGTCGCACAAAGGCAAATTGTTGAGTGGCAATGTCGCTGAGACAATGTCTCTGAGCCAGGGAATTTCCGCGGGCAGACAATGGTGTTTCGAGGGTATCGTTTGAGAGGTTCGTATTATGGTCAAAGGTCGTAGGAAAAATCCCACACAATAAATTTGAACAATTTTTATGTTTATTTGCTCTAAGAAAAAGCAGATTTCTTGGAGGTTCACAACTAAATGACTTTAAACATTTACTGATCTTCAAAATATATTTTAGTTTGAAGTTACTAAGGTCTTACTAATATTTATTTTACAAAAATGTTTACTAAGTTCATAAGTATATGATAAATTGTTTAACAATTTTGTTTTTTTCTTTAACTATTTCTTAAACATTCTGTGTGAAGCATACCTGTTGCTGTTCAAAGGCCTGGCCAAAACTGAAGTTATCCATAAAAGTAGTATTAGTTGGGGTGCTGGGCACCGTCCAACTGATTAGATCCATGTCCAAATCCATGGTCTGTGCCGATAGATTTTCGTTGGTGAACTCAAAATTCTTAAACATTTTGTTTTTTTTTAAGCGCAGAGCTGTGTGTTGAACACGAATACTTAAAGTAGACTGATGACAATTTTTGGGCACCCATCTGCTTTTATAGGCAGCACCAGCAGGTAGGGAAAGATCACAGAAATGGACAGAGGAGTAGGATTTCCTCAGGTAGCGACGGATCAAACGAAACTCCCCGGATATGAACAGCAAAATATTTACGAGGGATTCGCGGCAGACGGTCGAAGTAAAAATGCATTTTTAAAAACATGCTGGGAAAAAGGGTGAAGGGTTCGGGATTGCTCCAGACCGAGGAGAAAAAACTGAACCATGCAATGTGGGTGTAGCCCTTTGGGTGAACCACGCCCTCGCTGACCGACGATTTCCAGGGCGGATCCACCCGAAGGCTTAGCAATTGCTGGCCAACTTCATGTGGTTTGGGATCGGCCTCTAGGGACATTGGTCACACGTCTGCCAGCTGAAGGTGGTAAGCAATTTTCCATTTTTGGGGCGGCTAGAAGGCACTTCAAATTCGCCGTAATGGCGCGCACCTTCTCTGCAACACTTTGGGTGGATGCGTGTCGAAGTGCAAAGCGCCTCAAAGGATTTCAAAGTGGGTTTAAAAGAACTGGAGGACATCATTTTCACGAGACTGTCACTAATTCGTTTTAACTATAGCAAATTGCAATTTGCTTAGGAGATTATTTTCTACTTGAATTAACAAATTATGATACACAGCTTTTAAAAAAATTAATATTTTAAGCAGAAGAAACACCACAATAAAACACTTCGATGGCAGTTTTACTATCAAAATACACTTTAATCATAATCACATGTCTTGGTGAATTTTATATTAAAATATATCTAAAACCAAACTACATGACCAATAGGGCCATACACTTAAAAATTCTATTTAATTGTTCAACAAATTATTGAGCAATCGGGTTAACTAAGATTACGTTTGCATATGTACGTTATAATCTATATCTATATTTTCGAATATTCCTGCGTTTAAACTGAAAGGTTAATGTTTTGTAAATTCACTGCCTATTTCGACTGTCACCCGAAAATTTCTGCAAATCTTTATTTAACTGGTTTTAAATTGTCCCAATCGATTGCAGTATTTGCCGACTGTCGCCCGTCCAAATCTGATTCCCAAATTAAGAGTTGCCGGCCAAGCGATGCATGCTGATTGCAAATCGCCAAATCCACGCCTATCGTCGCCGCTCCTGTCCAGCAAATTAATAGCCATCATGTCGCTGTCTCCGCCGAAATCCCAGTCTCAGTCGAAATCTCTGTCTCAGAGTGACAATCTCAGTGTCTCGCTGGCCGATGGCATTTTCAGATGACAGTCAAAGTGGGCAGTGAATGACCAGTCGAAGACATCGACAATTACCTGACAAGGACGTTCGCAATTAAAGTGTTGAAATTAGTGACTTGTCGCCGTGAAACTGGCTCGACTGGATTTAATCCTTTTGCCGGTAATCGAGGCAACTTCATGTTGCTCGCTTAGTAATTGCTGTATTTAGGGCAAACGGCATTTGTCCTTCGCATTTAATAACGCGCCGTAAAAATCACATAAAAATGGACACGAGCCTGGTTGTCCTTTTCCGGGCGATGTCCTTGTCCCTACCTTACCAATTGCTCTTCCACGGTTTTCACACCAAATTGTGAAATCTCGCTGGATCATATTTAAATAAATATTTATGTTGCGTCTGTTGCAACATCAGTTTAGGCTTTTAGTGGGAAAACATTGCGCGATTGCCTCGTTCCCCGAAATTTCCACCCAAGCAAACAAATCCTTCGCATGTTTGCATTTGCGGCCTAACGGGAAGCCGCGTTCGACCATTTAGCCAAATATTGTGGTATACTCTCCCACAATTCCCCTTAATCACACTCGGTTTGTTTTTTCGAAACGTGCCTTAAATAAATACAACACATATATCTAGAATAATATGTAAATTGCATTCGAACATGTGCAAGCGCCAAGAGTTCTTTGGAAAAGTTAAAGTCATTTATGTTATTTCACCTAAGTTTGCTCTTTGGGTTTGGTTTTTATAATTTTAAAGATAAATAAAATAACACATGTGAGCTCATGGGGGAATACATAAGATTAGAGAATAAAAACACTATAAACGTTTTAAAAAATAAATAAATAAATAAATAACAAATTAATTTATCTAGGACATTTAAACTTTTGAATACTATTTGTTTAAAAATGTTTCCTTTTTATTTTTCCTTTTGGAAAATCCCCAGCTGGTGAATCAACCATTTGGGTTCTTCTTTTCCTGCCTTGCTACTTCCTGCAAATTCCCCCAGCTAAAGGTGCAAAAATTCCGACAACAGCTTAAGTGAATCCGGAATTTTTCTCCACATTAATGACTTTCCTTTCAAAAAAAAAAAAGGAGAGGAATCGTTCGCAAATGGCCAACGCAAATGACATCAATACAATGGCACCAGCTGATGGCACATGGAATTATCTTTTCATTTGTGTATTGTGTCACTTTCGGCTTGCATAAGACCGGCTAAAATCAGTTGATTTTCCAGCAGCAGAAGCAGCTTGGTCCTGGCAATTGTTTCCATTATCCTCACAGCATTGTGCATGTGCTGCCCTGAAGACAATGGATTTACGCAATTGTCAACATTTTTGGTAACACACTAAGGCTTGGGGAACCGGCTGCACAGAGTATTTTGTTTCTGACAAGTTCAGACGAATCACAATTTCCCAATTCTACCTAAATCAATTGTGGTTTAAAAGTCAGCAGACAAACATCATCATAAATCGATTTATGGTGTACCCAAATGATGTCTGGAAAGGTCCTCCATAATATGCAAATGTTAAAATAATGTTTTTCGCGTTTGTCGCCGATTTTTATTGCCTTGTTATTGTTATTGAAGGATGGGTTGCCTATTACAGCAGGTAAAATTTGACAAAAAAAGCCTGCCTTAGCCATCATTTTCCGCATCCTTTAACTTCCTTTTGAATCAGAAAACTCGCCAAAACTCACACATATACCCGCGAATGTTCGTTGTTTCATCAGAATCCTTTACACCGAAAATGGCAAACAATTAATTGAATAGCTGGTCCGTAGAGCAACTTCAATGTGCCATCGCCTCACACCCTTTCATTTTATACCGGAGAAAGGCTTTCACACAAAGGAACCAGAAAACGAAAAGGCAGGAAGGGTACGAGCTAGAGCTGGGGATTTTTCCAACTTTTGTTCGACATTTTCGGTATAGTTTTTAATTAGTGCAAACACAAAAAGTGCACCTATATCCCGGGCTCAGTTTTCAGGGTTTCGGCTTAGCCGGCACTGTCACAATTAAACAAAATTAGCTCAACTTTAAGCATAGATTAAGACAAATTTCTCAAACAATGCAGCGTGCACATGTTCACATGTGAAACAATTCGGGAATTATTAGAGCAGGTCATCCTGCACATGTGTCCGACACTTACAAAGGGCAGGGAAAAGTATATACTTCGGTATACATATATTCGATATGCCTTCAAAGGGCTGCGGAAGGATAAATCCCTGGCGCCTATTTTCCCAAGCAAATCCCTCACTGATCCCCGATCCCTATACTCTTTAAATTCAGAACTCACCTCTTGGGACATGAACTGCACCATCACGGCGAGTCCCAGGATCTGGCGGTGCTCCTCCATGCGCTCGAACTGGTTGTCCTGGAAGAACTTGGCCAGCCGGGCGTAGTCCAAGACTCCGCTATTCGTGAAGGGCTTCAGGGCGGGATACTGGGCGGCTATGTCCGCACGGGGCGTGGCAAGCATCGTCATCGAGCTGACCGACGTTCCAACTTCATCGGGCAAGCACTGGATTTTAATAAATAAAGAAGATAACAAGGGAATTAATTAATTAATTGTTTCCCAATTGAACTATCGAAATTACTGCAAATTATGCAAAACCATGTGCTTATTGTTTCTAATATTTCTGGAAATTTTTAATTGCTTTATTGCATTATTGGCAATATGACATTTCTTAAAGCTATTTATTTATTAACAATTGACTACTTTATAATCTTTTGTGTTGACTTGTATTTTTAAATAGCATAAATCTGTATTGAATTGTATTTTTAATAGAGCAATTTCTTACCTCATTTGGACTGGTAAACGTAACTGCTTTGCTCTGACCACTGACATCCTGGTCCGGTTTGATCAGTGGAAGGGGGGAAGCTGCCTTGGATCCTTGCGAATCGGAAATGTTTGTCTTCTGGGGGATAATCCCGCTCTGGATGTCGCACCTCTTCAACTTGGCCTCCGTCTCACAGGGCAACTCATTGCCGATGGAGGACCGTTTCGAGTCACGAGCCATCGGCGGAGTTGGACATCCGCTTGCGGATTGTCCATTATTCAGCTCCAGCAGCTCGGTTTGATCCACGCCAGAACGAAGGGATTCTGAAAGAATAAAAAAAACATATATACAAATTAGAAATGCGCTAATAGTGGTATCAAAAAGCGAACCATATCCATTAATTTCGAATGGTTTTAAGCACAAATTCCAAGAAATCGAAAGTACAATTCATTATCAAATTGTAACCCGAAAAAATAACAAATCCCTTGGATTACGTAACACTCAATCCGTCGAAAGCCGTTGCTCATCAACTGGCAGATGGAAATCTATCTGTCGTTGAAGATGAGCTAACGATGATGAGCTAACCGTGATTCACCCAACTGTGGATCCACTCTTCTCCAGGGCAAAAAAAATTACATGAGTAATTGCTTCGTGCCCGCAAAGAAGATATGGTCGAGAAAAAACCGCAACAGCAGTAAATTTTCTTTTTGCATAACTCCATTGACAAAAAGGGAAAGCGGGCAGCACACTATATGTATATCGTATATGTATAGGTGCAAGTCGGGCCACGCCCCCCGTCACCAGCTAATAACGCCTTGGGCCATCATCATCAATTACCAGATCGCCTCTCAACGGGGGGGTCGTCAATTAGAGAGGATGCGTGGCCAATTTTTGTAGCCAACAAATTGGCCTTGACAAGCCTTATGGATTTGCTAGGGAACGATGTGGCGAAACGAGATATATGCCGGGCGAGGGAGTTCAGTAACCGCTATGATCGATCCATCGATCGGCCAGCTCGTGTGTTTGTCCATAACTTAGCCCGATTTCCTTACAAGCCACGCGCCGTCCGTCGGCCCAACTCCAAATCGAAGCTGTGGCCAAACCCAGAGTCTGGCATACACATATGTATATCCGAGTGTGCATATGTGTCCATAATCAACGCTTGACGGTTTTATGTTACCGCATAAATTTATAGCCAAAGCCGCGCATACAAAGTTGTCAATGTTTGCACAAGTTTGCCATATCACAATTGCTCGAGGCGAAAGTAATGAAAGAAATCAGTTGCCTTCCGGAGTTGTCATCAAGATCATTACCCCGGGAAAGTAAATTATCGTGTCATCGAGGCTGCGATGCGAATTGAAAAAAGATTTGCAGCTAATCTGTGTATTAACAATATCAATTAAATTAAAGGTAATAGGCAATTGCGGGGTATCAAAACACAATACCCAAAAAGTAGCGGATTTGTAAGAGTAAATTAATTTTTAAGTGTTTTCTATCGAAAGTGTTTTAATAGTCAACTAACCATAAGTATTTTTTATTTCACTTAATAAAATGAAACCTGCTCTTGCAGGAAATTAATCAATGCTGTAAATTAATTAACAAATTAGTCGAAAACCGCCGTTGCAATGTGGCTTAAATGTTAGCGTTCGATTTTAGCCGCTTTAAACGATTGTGATTGTGCAATGTTTACGAATGAAGCAAGCCACTGAAACTGTAAAATAAACGAAACCAGATTCGCATGAAATGTCTTGGTGTTCAACAAATCAAAGCATAAATTATTGAAAAATTTGAGACTTTCAACATTTCGAATGATTTGATTAAAGCAAAAAAAAATGTGAAGAGAGTAACAATCTCGCAGAAGTATTTCCTTGGCTGCAAAACAGTGTTAGCCAAGCTATGATAGGTTTTTGGCTTTTCCCATTTCACTGTGTTCTAAGAACATATTTAATATTATTATTAATGGCAGACCTTCAGCAGCACCTGATCCCCCCTCCTCCACGACTCTGAAATATCTCAATGACACACGACTCGAACAAGTCTGGCACACGACGACATTCGAGAAGATTGAATGGCCATGCAAGGGACATTTCTCATGGCAATTAGGCGATTAAGTGACATTAGCTACGACCAATTAATTGCAAGGCCAAGAAAATTGGCCAGTTCCCAGTCCTGTCGCGGATTTTCCCCCGATTTCAGCCAGAAAATTCTCACGGCCCGGTTTTGTCCCTGGCGAATCGCAACAAGTTGTCGACAGATCTCCCAGGGCGATGGGTCAATTTTATGGCTGAGAAACCGACCACCTCAGTAGTTATATGGCCGGGATCGCAATATTCTCAATTCCCAATTCCCGATCCCATTTCCCAGCCCATGCCGCACTTGGATTTTTATGGGTCTCGGAAAAACTCAGCAGCGGGTGATTTCATTCAGAAATTTTCGACCTGTGAGGATTTTTTTTCGTGCTGGTGTGAAAACTGTTTATTTGGGCACGTGGATTTTCCCAAATATTACTGGTTTTCATTTGGTAAATTATTGTTGCAGTTATATGTATTACTTGGTTATTAAAAGAAGGGTGTAGGTTAGGGTGTATCAATTTTAAAAACCATCTTTACAAAACAATTATATAAATATTGCATTCATAGATTAATGACTTACTGAATTTAAATAAAATATAAAATTTTTGGATTTATAAGAGTGTCTTTGGTATTCTGTCAAAAGCAATTTAACGCATGTTTAGAAAATGTTTATTTTTAACAACAAAATTGCAAGCATTGTCTGTGAAAACCAATAGAAAGTGTTTGTGAGTTTTCGCTGGCGGTATTATTTGCACCTGGTGCAGCATCCACATCCACATCCACCAGGTGAAAGACTCTCCCCCATACAAGATCAATCAACATCACCGGCACCCATCAGCAATTCGCAAACATTTTGTGTCAGTGTCCAGGGTTCGCATTCGGTCAGCCGAGCTCATAATGACGGTTTGGGTTGGGATTTCAGTTGAGTTTGAGTTTGGGTTGGGATTTGGATTTGCTGAAACGCGACATGTGTCGAGGCGAATGCGATGCTGTGCACAGTGGGCACTGTGTGACACTGAACGGACAGTGGGACGGACGGACCTGCACTGGGCGATGGAAAATAATTGAAATTCCGAAATATCTTATTTGGCATTAGGCAGCTGTTGCTTTTGCCTTTTTTGCGGATTTTGGAAAACTCAACACAGGCAACTCAGCAACTCAGCGGCACCGCAACAACAGCAACCTGTCTTAACCCATGGCGACCCACAAAAACATGTCCAATGAAAATGCGCGTAATTAAAACGAACAACAGCCAGTCGAAACTGGCAAACTGGCATTTCAATTAGCTGCGTTTAGGAGACGCGAAAAAAAAGCATACCAAAATCACTTCACTCGACTCGACTCGACTGGAAAATTTAAGCGTTGTCGACTGTCTGTATCTGTAACTTTGTATCTGTTTTATTTCGCTTTGGACACCAAGTTTTCAGATAACGAGGAAAGGGTTTCCAGGGGTTGCAAGAGAAATAGACATTGCTTTAATTGCAATTTAACAACAAATTGTTTTAGCAACGAGACAGAAGCACTTTCAGTGGGCGAGAGTCAAGTGCCTGGCAGCGAATTTGTGCGAATTACTCGACATATTTGAGCTAAATATGTTATGAAAAAAATATCTCAAGTATGCTCGCAAATCATTTATGAGAAGCATGGAATGTTCCAAGCTAAAAGCTTTTTAACAGAGATTTTTAAAGAAGGAATGCACAAAGTTATTAGCCTTTACTAGCTGAAATAAAGTGATTTAATTAAGCAAACCTTTTCGTATCTAACAAAACAACAGCAATGATGTATTGTTGATTAGATAAAATACGATAATACATTTTGTAATGGTAAAAACCAGTCTACATTTCTGTTTATGCTCTAAAACACCTATTTAATTTACCATTTGTTTTTAATTAGTGTTAAAACCTGTGCTCCAAAATACCTTTTTAATTTACCATTAATTTAACAATTTACAAGCCGGAAGAGGCATCCACATTCGTAAATGTACACTTCCTCTAAATGAAATTGAAAACAACAGATGATCATGCCATTCTACTCATTTTTCACACACCCTTAATGACACAAACTGTAAACAATATTTGCACTAAATTATGCTTTGTGCCATTCAATTTGTTTGGTTACAAAAAAAAGGCCAGCAGCTGGGTCATTATAAACAACTCCCAATAAACAGAGGTTGGGAACTAGGGGGTAATGAAGCCCGGCGGAAGAACTTTTCAGGCCACTCGCACTGCGTTTTGGATTATATATACGCATATATAGACAGGAACGATCGATTTCTGCGGAATGTCAATCAGAGGAAGACTAAAGGAGGAAGACTCTATGATGAACAGATCGCTTCAAACTGCCCGCGTTGTCGGCGGTGATGAAAGACATATATCAAGGGATTTATGGCACATCAGGGCAGAGATTTTTATTTCACCCATTACGGTTGGATATTTTGTATTTAATTCGTATTTGTATTTGTAGTTCATGCGTCTGGGCAAACGCACATTTCAAGGTCGTAGAGTCGTCGCTTGGCGCATTTCCATTTATTTTTCCTATCTTTTTTCAGCAGCTAAATAAGCCTTTAAAACACTTTTCGTTTTTGGCTCAAGTTCTAATGATTATTTTTAGATAAGTTGTGCACGAAAACATTTGCTGTTCTTTTTTTTCAAACGCAAAAACACAACAAAGAGCGCAAAATAGACAAAAATAATGCAATATATACCAAAATTGTCCAATTAATCATTACATGACTGAGTGGGGCGAGTATATGTGCGTTTAATTTCCAATGTTTACTATGCGTTTAATTCCCAATCTTTACTATACATATGACCGATTTATGTGTGCTTTTCATATTATTTTGCGGTTGGCATACGAATGAAAATAATAACAAAAGTCCCACGATAGAAAAGACCGCAGGAAAAAGCTTCATGACTGGAAAGCCAATGAGTGAGTAGAGGAAGTGGGAAAACATAGAGGTTTAGAACTGGTAATACCCTTGATAAATATATTTATTCATTTTATGAGTAGGTAATGTAGTTGTAAGGCGTAATTCAAATTGATTAAATTGTGTTAATTGAGCATTTATTCTTTATATTTCAATTACTCCCTGCCCAAACTCAATTTCATATTTTTTTCTACAGGGTAAAACCTAATGTTTATGCCAAGTTCATGTTTGTGCCGGCCAGCAAAATATGCTTTTTGGTTTCTGTATTGTTTTTTCTGTTTTTTTTCTGTTGGCCTTTTATTTATTTTGCACAATATTTTTTTGA